AAATCGTAATAGTACAAATTTAATGAGTTCGAAATCATTCAAATTCAAATTACAATGATAACGACATAGATACCGTTTATTTTTATATAAAACGATATTTATATCGTTTTAGCTAAATATAAAGATTCGATTGTTCACAACCACTTGTTATGCTTTCAGCATATGTAGAACAATCGAAAAAGGTCATTAAGTGGATTGATATCACTCGAATGACTTAAAAAGAGCGAACGAAAATACTTTTTGTCAAAATAGTTCGAAAGTGGTATACAATTATGAGAGCAAAAATGTTCTCAAAGTTTCTTTCAAGATAGATCGAACCCACTTGATTATCTATTTTGATCATCCTATATATGTCAGATGCATGTCTGGTGGTCGAATCGTTATTTTTAGCATAAATGATATAATTGTCGTTTTATTTTAACTGAAACGATATGTATGTAGTTTTAGTTATGATTTAAGCTAAAATGATATCAACATCGTCAAACTTGTATCAAAACGATAATAATATCGTTATATATCAAAACCACAAATATAGCAACGATATTCATATCGTTTTAGTACAAATTTGATGAGTTTGAAATCGTTCCAATTCAAATCACAAGTATAACGATATAGATATCGTTTCGTTTCATATAAAACGATAATTATATCGTTCTAACTAAAAATAAAGATTCGACCGTCCACAACCACCCGCCGTGTCTTTAGCATAGGAAGGACGATCGAAAGAGGTCATCAAGTGGGTTGATACCACCAATAAAAGGGGATTTCGAACTAAGCTAATGAAGGTGATTAGCTTCGGTTCGAAAGTGGTATACAATCATGAGAACAAAAATGTTCTCATAGTTTCTTTTAAGGGAGATCAAACCCGTTTGATTACCTATTTTGATCATCCTACATATGTCAGATGCATGTTTGGTAGTCGTTCGAATTATTATTTTTAGCAGAAACGATATAAGTATCGTTTTATTTTAACTGAAACGATATGTATTTAGTTTTAGTTATGATTTAAGCTAAAATGATATCAACGTCTTCAAATTTGTATTGAAATGACAATGATGTCGTTATGTATCAAAATCACAAATAAAGTAACGACATTCATATTGTTTTAGCACAAATTTGACGAATTTGAAATCGTTCCAATTCAAATCACAAGTATAACGATGTAGATATCGTTTCTTTTCATATAAAATGATAATTATGTTGTTCTAGCAAAAAATAATGATTCAACCATCCACAACCACATGTCATGCTTCAACATACATAAGACGATCGAAAGAGGTCATCAAGTGGGTTGATACCACTCAAATGATTTAAAAAGAGTGAACGAAGATACTTTCTGTTAGAATTATTTGAAGATGGTATACAATCATAAGAACAAACATATTCTCATAATTTCATTTGAGTGAGATCGAACCCACTTGATTACTTATTTTGATCATCCAACATATGTTAGATGCATGTCTGGTGGTCGTGGACGGTCGAATCGTTATTTTTAGCAAAAAACGATATAATTGTCGTTTTATTTTAACTGAAACGATATGTGTGTAGTTTTAGTTATAATTTAAGCTATAACGATATCAACGTCATCAAACTTGTACTGAAACGATAATAATATCGTTACGTATTAAAATCACAAATAAAATAACGATATTCATATCGTTTTAGCACAAATTTGAAGAGTTTAAAATCGTTCCAATTCAAATCACAACATAGATATCGTTTCTCTTCATATAAAACAATAATTATATCGTTCTAGCTAAAAATAATTATTCGACCGTCCATAACTACATGTCATGCCTTCAACATATGTAAGACGATCGAAAGAGGTCATCGAGTAGGTTGATACCGTTCGAATGATTTAAAAAGAGTGAACGGAGATACTTTTTGTCAGAATTATTTGAAGATGGTATACAATCATGAGAAAAAAATGTTCTCATAATTTACTTTGAGTGAGATCAAACCCAATTGATTACTTATTTTGATCATCCAACAAAAGTCAGATTTATATCTGGTGGTCGTGGACGGTCGAATCATTATTTTTAGTAGAAATGATATAATTATCGTTTTATTTTAACTGAAATGATAAGTATGTAGTTTTAGTTATGATTTAAGTTAAAACGGTATCAACGTTATCAAACTTGTACTGAAAGAATAATAATATCGTTATGTATCAAAATCACGAATAAATTAAGGACATTCATATCATTTTAGTACAAATTTGAATAGTTTGAAATCGTTTCAATTCAAATTACAACTATATGACATGGATACTGTTTATTTTCATATAAAATGATAATTATATCGTTCTAACTAAAAGTAGATTCGACTATCCACAACTACCCGTCATGCATTCAATATCGTTACGTTGTTTAGTGCACTTTTTTTATTGGAATGACATCTATATTGTTTTGAGTTCCAGGAACGACTTCCACGTCATTCTTAGAATAAGTGCATTTTTGCACTAGACCGACTTATATATCGTTTATGTATAGTCATAACGACTTTTATGTCATTACCAAAATAAGTTAAATAGTGTGTATTTCATACTGAAACGATATAGAGGTCGTTTTTTATTACAGAAACAATTTCAATGTCATTATGTTATTCACTCTACTTTTTTGTATTGAAATGACATCTATATCGTTTTGTGCTTTAAGAACTACTTCAATGTCGTAATTAAAATCAATACATTTTTGTACTACAACGATCTTAAACACTTTGTTTCAGAATGAAGAAAATATATATCGTCATTAAATTGATTGCATTTACATCACCTGTAACTATAAGAACTTCGTTTGCATTTCAATAGTGCAAAAGCATTTCAATAGCACAATGACTACAAAATTTAACAAATCATCTTGTGTTTTGAAGAAGCACAAAATTATAAAGTTACAAGTTAGGACAATATTATAACTTTAATCTCAGACGATTATTACTCGAGAACTTCACGAATCAAGAATGTTCTGGAAAAAAATTATAAAAATAGAAATGAACGGTCGATTAATATAGTCTTTATGGATCCATTGAATAATTTTGATCATTTATAATCTTAGCACTGTCACAAACTTAGGAACTTGGATTATGAATTATGATGATAAACCAGGAAGTTCGCCTAGTATATAAGCCAACCATTACATTATAGTTTCTATCATACACACATATGTACACACACTTTTGATCTATATCTTGATGAAACTAAAGGAATCAATTTCTTAAAATGCTGGACCAATTGTTTCTATGTAAAAAAGTCATCCACCAGTAGCACTTAAAGAAAAAAGGAAAAAAATGACGTTCCTCATTTTTCTTTGGGTCGGGGATGGGAAAGGCTGACACAATATTCGACCTGCTATGTTCAATTCCTTTTAGAGCAAAGTTGAATAAGCATGTCTCTCAAGAGAGCTGCAGTACGAAATCACAAAGTAAACATCCAAGTTTCTGAATCTTTATATTGAAAGCAAGTAAATGAGCAAGATAACACACACGATAATTATGTAATTTGCAGGAAATAATTCCAAATCAATTATCCATTATAAATATAAATGAAATAATAAAAGAGTATGCTCTAACAAAGCCAAAGTACTAGTTTCTATTTCAAGGTATTGGTTTATTCCATCTTATTTGGGAATAAAAATATGCAGTCCACTGATATCTTATGACTGTACTCATAACCATTTGAAATTGTAAATAGATTCTTTAATCATTCGATTTTTTCAATTAAATTTCGAAAAAGTTGTGAATTGATGTTCAACACCTCTTTGACTTTATCATATAATTCTACATAAGAAATAGTTTTCGCAACAAGAATAGGAGTTGTTTTTTCTTTGCCATTCCCTGTATATTTTCATTTTAAACACATTCAACCGACTACTCATATTCAACTGAAAAATAAATTGATATCCATATCATATTCGCGATGTCCATAACTATTAACTGTAATTCAATATAAAAATTTCATCAAATTTCAAATATTGTATAGTACTGATAACGATATGTAAGTCGTTACAGATTGTAGAAAACGATATGCAAGTCGTTATGTACAGAGGAAAATTAAATATATGTTTTACAGTAGATCAATAAAAAGAATAGCCAAACATGCATTTGCAGACTTACATTTTACTCTAACTGGTACAGATGAGTAATGAGAAAAGAGTTTGAAAGTAACCCATATCAAAACTCTAATCTAATAATAAAATTAATTCAAAATCATTATTCACAAATAAAAACCATAAACATATATACAACAACATGAAAAAATTATTCAAAAAATGGATAAAGAAGCTAACCCAAAAATTGAAAATTACAACACTCCCTTCTTCTCCAAATGCCCAACAATAATATTGCAAGATTTTATTACTCACTTCAGCCAAATGAGTGTTCAAGAAAAAGAGAATGTAGAGTTTATGGTTTCATTAAGTAAAGAAAAATGATGATGACAAAGAAAGAAATTGCATACCTCTACAGCCGATTTTTGAAGAGCAAATGGAAGGAAGATAGAATTTAATTAGGGTCAAATGGGGATTGAAATGGGAATTAGGGCAGCAATGTCTTTTTTGTATGTAAGGTCATTTTAGTCATTTATAAATTATATTTTTCATTTTCCATATCTTTAGGCCTTTTACCCAAAGAACTTAGTTTGTGGACTTTTTAAACTAATCAATCGTTTGACTAGGTTTTTTAAATGAAAACCCCAAGTTTTAAGGGGAATGTAGAATATTTCCTTTTCTAATTTTATTTTTTTCAAAAATTTTTGATTTAATATTTTAATTGTTTATAATAGAGAAATGTAAAGTTACTATTCTATTCCTTTAAAAATTGTTAAAATATGATCAAAATCAATTTTTTGGTCAACCATTAGAAAAATGCATGGATTTCATCATTTCGGACTCCAGCTGATGATTTTTCAAAGGTTTGAAACCTTTATTGGTATAAATTGAAGATTAGAGTAAAGTCTGATAAAAATGCAAAGGTTTGGAACCGCCGCTGCAATTTTCCCAAGTGAAAATTTAACATCGCCCTGGCAAGGTTTTCATCACTCCTTTCTTCCCCTTCCCGCAAATTCCGATTTGCACTCATTCCGGCTGCAGAGCAGAACAATGGCTCCCAAGTTATCGAATTTCATGCAGTTTTACGGTAAAGTAATTTTCCTTTTCAGTTAAGTTCTTTTAATTTTGTCATGTTTAAGTGCCCGATACATGTTTAGATGCTTAATTAATTTATTTGACAATGGCTTGTTTTAAAAAGGCTACGATCTGTTATTGGGATCAATAGCTGCCTTCTACGTTTTCATGGTGCCTTATACGAAAGTTGAAGAAAGCTTCAATATTCAGGTACAAAATCAACCTGTGCAAATGTTTTTGAATTGAATAACTGTTTTCTTGAAAAGTTTTTTAAGAAACTTATTTCTGGGTTCTTACAAGGACTGAGAAAAGCTTAATGAAATTGAATTTTCCATCTTTTGTTTAGGCAATGCATGATATTTTATATCATCGGCATCATATAGAGAAGGTAATCACTACCTTTCTGTTAGGCCTTTATGCATTTATTTTTTAAAATCTTCCGTGGGTTTATACTTTTTGCCCTTATTTTTTTTGGATCTTTTTATTTATTTTTCCTTCTCCTTGACCATATCAGTACGATCATTTGGAATTTCCAGGAGTGGTTCCTCGCACATTTATGGGTATGTTACGTGTTGTTATTTTGTCCTATGCTAACTTTGCTTTAATCCAGATTTGATATAGTCAAAGGGATTTATTTCGGCTAGTTGCAAATTTAAATTTATCTAGGACAGAAGCACTTATGGTTACCCAATTTAGAGGCTTCAAGTCTTCTTCTGAGATTGGGCCGTAGAACATAAATGCGCCTTAACATTTGATCCGTATTCCCTAGGTTACTGGTGAAGTGTCCAACGGAAAATTCAACTGTTTAGAAGCTTTGCCTGTTTAACATTTTAGCCACTTGTAGTGAGGCAGTTATGCTTAAATGACCTGTATTACCTATGCACTTCCGGACCATTGTAGCACAATGATGGGATTAATTGATATAATTCAAAGGTGTTCCCCAGCTATTGACTTAAGTTGGCTAATTCAAGTCCCTGGCCATGAGAGGTTCCCAAGAATGTCCCCATATCAGCAATTGCTACTGCTTTGTATCAATTTTGATGATGAATACACTAGTCTAAAAAACTCATACGATGTTACACAGCTCAATATTTTAAATTAAGACCTTATGCTTACCTGTTTTCTTTATAGAAATCTTACATGGTTACAGTCATATGTACTTTCAGCTGTTTGATTAGGTCAGTTTCAGTGCCACACTGATGAGTTTTCCAGTGGATCATCTGGATTGTGCTTAATCTAAGAGTATTCCAATGTGAGATGGTATCATGGTAGGATGTTCGAGGGTATCAAAGGGTGGGTCAGTGTTGTGCTTCCTTCTAAAGAGAAAATAGGTTTCAATGGAGAAGATGACTGTCTTGCAACCCAAACTTTATATAGTAAAACCCAAAATGCTAGTAACAGAAAAAAGTTTCCGGCCAGCCAAATAGTTTGGGTTGAACTGGAAATTTGAATTTTACTATATAAAGTTTGGGTTGGATTAAGGCATTGATTTTGGTATTTCACTGGCATTTACATTTGGTCCAGTGATGAAGCAAAAGCATAAACCTGTAGGAACTTTAAGATATTTGAATTTGTTTCGGATAAAAATTCATGGTTGGGTACAAAGAGGTTTTGTTCGGGATTTGGGGTCAAGGATTCAGTTAAGAACAAAACTGAAGATCAGGATGACTAGTTTTATGATGTGCAACAAAAATGATTGAATTAACTGCTGAAGAATGGTGTCTAGCTGCTTCTTGTGGCTGGAAAGGAAAACTGGGTATAGAAACAACTTAAGCACTATTTCACATAAATTTGGTGAAACAAAGAAATACCTGTCTAACTGTTACGTGACCAGTGAGATAAAGAACAAGACCATCATAACTATGGTGAAGACTGTTTTGTCCGAGTAAATTATCTCTTATTAAACTCATATCAGCAAACTATGATTATTCCCTGTCGTCATTTTTACATTCTTATTCTGGTCAATCAAGACTTCTTTTTTCTTCTTTTTGAGAGGAGCTTCGAAGAAACTTCTTCAGACACTAGGTTAAACGAAAGCCTTTTGCTTTCGAGATTACCAAACTTTGCCTATATTGATATATCTGCAATATTGATAACTAACATTATTCCATCCATTGTAATTGTTAGTAAGTGTGACATCAATATTGGTACCCATAACTTGTGGCCCATCTGCGGTTTCTCATTTTTATCTTGCATGAACTCTAGGTTTGTATTCCTCATCAGGATCTGTAACCTCTTGTCGTTGGAGGCCTGAATTTTCCTTTGCATTGTGGGTTCCTCTAACTCTAGGTCTTGTTTAACGAATCAATTAATCACTTAGCTTGAAATTATCACTTCTTTAACTAAACTGTTTATGTTGCCTGTATTATCTAATACGAAATCTATACAAGGAGAAGATATAGAATCATAAAGCAATATAATGTTTTTGCTATGTATCAAAAGTAGGATAAAGTTAATAAGTTATAGATGCTCCTCATGCAAGAACCTTTTTTGTAGGTGCCTTGCCTGTATCGGTTTTGGCATTTCCATTTGCACTAGTAACAACTTTACTACACTTGCCAAAGATTTACAGTCTTTATGCAGGTAACTTCACTGTTTCCCCTGGCATGCTTGTGTGTTCAATGTTCTTTTATTTATGTTATTATTGGGCGCCAAAATTTTATGTTATGTGCATTTAATAATGTTTCCCTTTTCTGTATGTGCGCATGTGGTTGTACGCATTGTATATATCTTTATGTCCATTCAATTCTTGTTGATTTATAGTCCAGTGATGTAATTAGTTTGTGAGATCATTTTAGGAAAAATCATAGTTACATAGCTGCACAGATTCACATGAGACCTGCATGTCAACTTGGTTATGCAACGAGGGACTTCTTGGTGAAGAATGATGAACTTTACTCAATGGAGGTTGTTTGTTAAAGAATTTACTTTAAGCAATGACACCTCTTCGGAAAGTGTGTAGTCATGATAAAAATGGGTTAGTCAAGCCTGAATTTAATGCACATGGTGAAAAATCACACATATCTAAATAGTTATAGAAACAGTGCTATACGAAAAAGAATTGCTGAAGTGATAGCACCATTTAACGAGATGTGCCTCAGCTTAATGAGGAAAGAAACGGGAACTTTAGTCTTTTAACTGAGAACTGATTGATGTGGGTAAATGGGATCATTCAAACTGATGTAAAACTACGAGTTGATCATGCTGTCATAGAGCAATGGGAGTATGCTTTATAATGTAGTTATTGGATATTGAATTATTTCAATTTTGAAGTGAATGAACTAATTTTATTCTTACATGTATTCTCAACTCTATATTCTTCCTCTCTTTACTGGATAAACTTGAAAAGAACAATAGATGGGAAAAAAGTTAAATATGTTCTATTTTCCCTATTTTGTCTAATTGTTTAGTTCCAAAATTGAACTTTTCAATCCCTAGGATATATAATTTGCCTCTTCTTTGAATTGTAGACTTCTTTACCTCTTTTTATTGTTTTTTGAAATACTCAGAGCCTGTTTGAGCCCCATTTTTCTCCAAAATGCATTTTGGAATAGTATTTTCATGGCAAATGTGTGGTTAAAAAATAAGGAAAAGTTTTGGGTTTGCGTATAATATTATTTTATTAAAAAATGTGTAGTTGGAAATAATAAAGAAAAAAATGTATTTTGAAAATAATGGGGACCAAACAAGGGCTCAATATATTTCCATGTGTAGTTCATGGTGACAGATTGCATCATTCCTATCAGTTCCCGATCATTCTGTATCTGTTTTATTCGTGTAGTTCATAGGTGACAGATTGCATCATACCTATCAGTTCCCGATCTTTCTATATCTGTTTTATTCACTTACAATTTGTTAATGTACTCCATATTTTTCTAATTGAATTGACATTTGTTTTGGTTAGTTCGTTTGGTGTTGGGTTGCATCATCTTGTCTACACTGCGTTTTTTCCGCATTCAGGTATAAACTTGCACTGTTTTTTCCTTGTCATCACCTTATGTGTCTTTTGCTTCATATCTCTCTGCTAACGTATCTGTGAATCATTGATTAATGACATAAAAATATTCTTATGATCCCTAAAGTACGTTTTGCTTCTCTGATGGAAGCAGTTTTATTTGCTAGATGTAAAGTCTCTCCTTCTTTTCTATTCTTTATATACACTGTTTCTGTCTGTGAATTACAGTTGCCTTTTACACATGAGATCTTCTACCATTGCAAGTTGGTATTATCTGCATTTTTTATGGACAACCTTGATTTGTTATGTTGACATTCAATCTTCTAGGACTGTTTATGAAAGACACGCAGAAGCAAAAATATTATGCTTACTTATGAGAAAGATGCCATGTATGCTTGCAAGCCCATACTTCTCTGCAAGATCATTTCTCTTTTTTCCACTCTCATTGAGTAAACTTCCAGCTCACCTCTTTCTCTCTATTCTCTTTCTCCCTCCCCCTGGTTTAGTGCCAAATTTGGTATCATGGATTTGAAGGGGGAGAAAGGACCTAATCTCTGGATTTAGAAGTTGACACTTGACAGTTCACAGTTGGATCCTTGACGATTGAGCCAAACCTTTGAGCTTCACCCGTCTAAATTAACCACATCCAGCTCTGTATAAAAGTAAATCTATCAAATAAAAAGTTGGAGATGAAGAAGTAAATATAAAAGCTTGAACTTTCTGGACTCTGTAGGCTTAAATTTTGATGTGATGTAATTGATAAGGAGGCATGCAAATTGAAACCCCTCAAAAGAGTTGCATTTTTTTATTGGATAACAACTTGAGAGCACTGCTACTGGACTGTTATTTATGCCTAGTGGTCCCAGAAGCATGAGTTTCCAGGGTAGCAACTGCAGTCTTTGTACTTGATGTTATTTGTGCTATAGCTTATAAGAATCCTGGTGAAAATCTAGTGTATTCCTCAGTATTAATTCGAATATCTGTTGATCTACTCTTTTTGAAGGATTGTGTATATCTGCCTGCACAATTGTGTGCACGACCTTTAGGCATTTTCATGAAGTTTGATGGGTTGATTTCAGAGAAATTTATCCATCACTCGGATCATATCATGGTGCTGTGCTATGTTTTATGGGTTTTGAATTCGTCTTCTTTCAGGAAGCAGAACTTCAGTTCATATATATATACACAGTGAAAAGTAGCTGATGCAACAGTTCTTTTTCTGAATACATATATGATGAATTTTTTCTTCCACTGTATCTTTTTTCTTATTCTTCTACTCCTTTTTTGTGTTACTTTCAAACTTTCTTAATCTTCAGATTTTGACATTATTGCTTATTCTGTCTGCATATTTCTTATGTTGGCATTACATTTCACAGTTAATGATATAAGTTACTCTTCCTTTGAGCAGATTAAGAAGAAGTTTGGGTCTCAAGTTGAAGCTTTCTTTGTAATATTGACTGCGATTCAATTTCACATGCTGTTCTACTGTACCCGGCCACTTCCTAACATACTGGCGTTTGGCTTAGGTAATACTAGCTACACCAGGTTTACATTTAGTATTGATACCTTTTTTTTTGATAGATGAATTCTTGCATTTTATTGGATGCTAGAGTTTAACATCCTGATAATGTGCTGTTCAGAAAGAAAGAAAACTGAATTGACAATCTTGAATTGCTAAAAAAGAGAGTAATGGGCTGAGCAAAAAAATTGCATATGTGCCTCCCTATGTTCTTTAGGTAAGGTATAGAGTAACCACTGAGTTGCTGAAAGAGGGTGAGAGATTGTTAAAAGGCCACTCTTCCATCTTACACCATATTTATCTGTATTCACACCTGAGCCACATGATACCCCCACTACAAGTAGCGTGCCTCTCAAGTAGTGGCGTTATTTTTTGTCATTACCAGCTTGAATTAGCAAAAAATTTTCATTTTTATCCTTTTCTTGAACACATAATTTTTGGTGGGGAAATTTTTTTGACTTCACGGGATCTATTTCGGTTCGGAAAATTAGGGATGAAAAACCCATAATATGTTAAGAATCTGGAAACTGTTGCATCATGTTTGCAACTGTTTTGTGTGAGATGATGGATTCAGTAAAGTTATTATAATATTTTAATCTGGGCTTTGTTAATATTACTTTACTGTAAATGTCTCTCTGGTTGATCCAGTGTTCAAATGGATTCTTGTGCCTGGAATTGTGGCCCATCTCACTGTCCCTTTCTCCCCCTCCCTGCCAAATATCAGTTGCTCCTTTCTGATTTCTCAATTTTTTTTTTGAAATTAAAGAGAACTTAGATATTGCATCATCTCTTTGTTAACAGAATTGAACTGTTCGCCATCCATTATATGCTAGTCATGTTTCCTTTATTTCTCCTTTTTGCAGTTAACTTGGCATATGGGTTCTGGTTTAAGGGAAGCTTTTATGCAGCATTAAAGTGTTTGGTATGTTTTCATTCGCGGTTAAAGTTTATATCATATCTGTTACATATTTGAAAAGTACCTTGCAATTTCTCTATTGAAGTATTTTTTTTAATTTGTATTTCCTGCAAATTTTGTATCTGGTTCACCTCCATAATGGAGCAGGGACTTATTTTATCAGTGACCACCATTGTTTAAATGGAGTGTCATGTTCTCTGGCATTATCTTTTGATTGAGTGCACTTTTCAACCTACCCAACTTTGTCCAAACTTTATGTCAACCAAAATCCGTCAGCTGATCTCTTTGGATCAACAAACTTCTCTATTTAACATGTATAGGTTCGTGGCTATACTAGCTTTTCGAAGGTTAACTATCCACCACTATTCTGTTAGCTCAATAATTGGGTAGTGATATTGAGGAAGCAACGAGAAATGAGGAAAAAACTGCACTTATGTTTTGTTTATTAAGCATATCTGTTTAACACTTTATTCCATTTGTTCTGTCAATGCACCTTATACAATTGAGATACTTTCAAGATGCAAAATAAACACTGGAAGAATAATGATCTTGTCACATGCTAGAAATATCTATGCGTGCTCATCATTTTGTAATCACTAAAGGCTTTTTCTGTTTTCTAATGGTTAGATTTTCGCTACAGTCATCTTCAGATGTGACATCCTGTTACTTATTTCTCCTCTGGGTCTGGAGCTATTGCTGGTATGCTCTTCAGCCACCAATTAAATGGGCAGAAATGTACTTTTCATCATGCTATTATTATTTTTTCGTTCCTGTATCAGCTGTCACAGTCTCAAGCTGTCTAGCTCCTTTGAAGCAATGGAATTCGATGGGTTTATAATCTGTTTTTGTCCCCAATATCTTGTTGCCCTCGGATATCAGAGTGCTTTGTTTTTAATTTGATGGGTCTCTTACGTCAATGAATTAAAATATATCTTCTTTAGTAGCTGCATTATTTTGCAGCAACATGGAAAGAATGAAGCAAATTCTCAAAATGTAGATTTCCTTGTATCTGTAATGGTAAAGAAAACTTTAGGTTCCCCATTGAACTGGGAAAGATGAATTATTAGTTGGCATCATGTCACGAGAGTATGGTGTTCCTGGGTGGCTCGTTTCATGAGAAAATGTTACTTCTTCCCTGATGTTTTTCTGTTAGCATTTTGCTGTAGGTCTGATATTCTATTTGTTATTGTGACTGTGCCTGTTATGAATGCTTATTTTAATCAACTGCAGTCTAGGTCAATTTCCTTTTGGAAGGCACTGAAATCCTGCATTATAACTGCTTTACTTTGCGTAGGTTTGTTATCTGAACTATGCTATAACTACACATAATGTACAGTATATTTATTAATGGTATCATTTTGTTAAATTATGTCTCGTATTTTAATTTTGCATTGTAGGCCTTACCATGCTTGTCGATTCTGTTATGTGGAGGAAGCTGTTGTGGCCTGAACTGGAAGTTTTTTGGTTCAACTCGGTTTTGAATCGAAGTTCTGAATGGGGTGTATCCTTCGGCATATCTTTTCTTTGAAACATATCTTGACATCTTGTGGTAAATTGCTGGCAGACTAGTAGACAAAGAAACATAGGGCTTATGATGCTATGCATGACAATGCTGTATATAGAAACTCACACTACCCCTTGCAATTTGGACCAGACAACATTAAGTATGAACCTAGAAATAGTGTCTGATAAATCTTAGACTGACAAAATGTATGCAACTTCATTACTTCTAATATTGGGGTTCCTAGATAACCTTGTAGGCTTGGCATTAAATCATGGTCTTCCTGTGTACAATCAACTCCCTTGTGGTGGTTATATTCACAAGGAACAAACATGGAATTAGTATTGGAAAGTTGGAGTCTCCTTGCTAGTGAGTTCCAGGAAAATGGCTGTTAGACTGTAGCATGGCTTGAGGAAAAGAAACGGTTACTTGGAAGCAAAGGGCATGTAATGCCTGGAGCCATAGGGCCTATTTGCGTGTAGTAGCAGAAGAGCGCACACAAATATGCTCTTAGATCATGCTGGAGATCAGCAATCCAATAATGAATCAAGTGGTTGCACTTTAGGCTCTAAAACCTAGACTCATACAAACTGGTCACGTTTCTTACAACAGACCAATGTGGGATACTCACACTTGGGGTGTCACAATCTCCCCCCTTTATATCACCTGACTTGTTTCTGCTAAACAGCTCAGGATCAGATCACCATACGACCTGTGATTCTGTTGGGTGCCCTTGCTCGACTGAGCCTGCCTTTAGGCCTAACTTGCTATACTATACAAAGGCACCTCTGGCTATACGATTACTATATGCACTTTATTATGCGTAGCACTTAGTTTCCACACTTCTGGTTGTTACCCACTTGAACATTGTCGTTAACACTGGAAGAGAGGTAGCTTTGGTGCCCATACAAATGCACCTAGAATTAGACGGGAGATCTTATGCCTAAAAGTGGTTCCATTGGCACTTAAACTTTGGTCATATGTCCTGCAAGAAATTGCTCTCTGACACTCACTCCTGAGTATGAGAATTTTGACATCTCACATTGATCTTGTTAAACAGCTTAGTATTTTTTATATGTGGCTATGTGGGTGGTGCAATCTAATCATCACTAACGCACACTGATCCTATAAAAACTCCATATTCTAAGAAAAATCTGGAATGGGCTCCACAAACAACTATTTAATGAGCCCCGCTTTGCCAAAGTGGTTATAAAAATATCTTATGGAAGCTCTCCAATAACTGTTGTGGGACGTCCCAGGTAATGAGGTACCAGCATGAATCTCTTCTATGTTCACAAACAAAATCTTTGTTCCTTTTGTTTTGGCTCCAGTGCTTCTGAGTGTGCTACTTTTGTCCTTTCTTAAAAGATCTGTTATTATTATTCATTAAGCCTATGTTTGGAAGTGTTTATAAATTGTTTATACATTGAAAGCCACTTTTTATCCATTTTCAGAGACCCACAAGTATTACCCGCTCATCCACCTCTCGTTTCTATCTATTTATAGTTTAAACTCTTTATAAACATGTCCCAAACATGCTTTTAAGTTTTTTGTTGTTCAAATTTTCTTTGTTCTTCCTTGATAGCTTTTCTCTAGTCACATCCTTATTATTGGTATTTCACATCAGCACTTCCTCGTTCCTTGCTGGCTGCATATCCACTTTTTATGGTGAGTGCAAGACTTCAATGGAAAGACTGACTTTCACGTTACTTAGCCCACTGGAAAATGTTGCTTCCAGTTAACATTATTGCCTGTGATGTATTTTATTTTTTGTAGCTTGCCATTTCTCTGATAAGAACCTGAAACTGCTCAACAAATATGGAAGAGAAGAATAATTGGAAACTGAATGATATATTGTAATTAACTGGAAAAGAAATAACAAATTCCAGGGCTATTAGAGAGGCCCGGTCTCTTCCCTCTAACTGAATTCCTAGTGCCAAGATGATCCCAGCATCCCACTATGCTTCACATTTATTGGAATTCTCCTACTACATATTATTACCCTTTTACCCCTAACTGATGACTAATATACTTGGCAGTCCCCTCCATGCTGGAGGTGTCATTTCCTCTTCTCCCTTCTTGCGCAAGTAAACCGAATTGGCGATCTATCATTCTCTTGTGAGAATGGTGGTTTTTCTGAATTTAAATCTTAGAAAGGATGCATCTCAAACGTTCCTTTTGGAATTGAAGTAAATCTGTTGTGAACTTCGTGCTTGATTGTCTGCACACATTGAATTATTTCTATTTCAGATGGCTAGCAAATATGGAGATGTGAACTCGCGTATTTTCAGTCTCTAAACCAATGTTTATAAAACACTCAAGGTGTATACGTTGAGGTGTGACTTGTGAGCATCTTTCATTAGGAGCCTCAAAGATTATGCTTTGAACATCCTTTTTAACCTTGACTCGTTGAGATGCACATCTCAAGACATAAACCTCAGAGCAGCTGGGGTGTGTATACTGCAGTCTTGCCTTTTCTGGGCTGCTCTTCTATTGGCCCCTCTTCTTTTTCCTTTTTTTCTTCATTCTTGTGGCTTATGTTTTCTTTTAAATTCAATGCAAGCAAATTCTAATGTAGACTGTCAACCTTTTTTCATTTGTATTAGACTTTAGTTTTAGTTATAGATTAGCGCTCGTATTATGTGATTATTACCTTTCAATTCATTATTTGCTACTTTGTGATCCATTTTATGTTTCTAGTAGCAAACAAAACCTTTAGTTTTGTTAAGATGTTCCATCATGGACCTTTTATCTGCCTAATGGTTGTTCATTCTTTTAGACTCTAGTTTTAGTTTTGGATTAGCAGTAGTTGGGAAAATGACATTGTACCTTTAATTGCTACTTTATAGTATTTCAATTCTTTTTCCTCCACTAATTACATGGGAATGCAGACACTTGTGAATAGAAATGAAACTAATGGATCATAAATATAGGGATTTCATTTATGAAATGCCAAAATTTGCTGGATTTTAGTTCTGCTGAATTTGATGTAGCATGTTCCTTTGCAGCTAGGGATTCTACTAGACAGAAGGGTTCTGGTCTACATCTTTCCAGTTTTATCATTTATTTTACTTTATTCAAAGCTTCCACACAAGGTATTATCTTAAGAATCTAGAGTTAGTGATTTCATATCATGTCAACTTTAAGTACTTATTTTAGTTGTGAAAATTTTCTCTACTGCAGGAACTTCGCTTTATTATTAGTTCTCTTCCTATCTTCAATTTATCGGCTGCAATTGCTGCAAGCAGAATGTATGCAACTTCTTAATCAAATTTTCATATAAATATCTATGTTATTCTGAATGCATTTATTTTTATTTGATGCTAATTTATCCCCTTCGAGAATTGATAGTTACTCTCTTTGAATGTTCGAATTGATTAGTAATTGTAGGAAACATTATTTTGCAGTACCTGATATTGACACACTGTGGTTTTGTAATCTCTTATTGTGGAAATTAGAGCTATAGTATTTGCCTCCTACATTATATAAGCCCATGATCTTTTTTTACTGATTGCCTACTACACGTGGGATTATTCTGATTGTCCATGTGTACAACCTGATTGTGATGGAGATTTTGAAGATTGTTATTTCTGTTGTCAGATCCTTAGCTAAGAGTTGACTAATTGCAATCGTGCAGTCAATAAAATTATGTGTACCACATTCCATACAAAGGAGAAGCACCCAACTTGAACCTAGGCTAACCCCTCCTGACAACCTATTACTAGCTGTGAGGAACAGATGTAGAAAAAGATTTATATTCCTAAAAGTTTATTAGAAATTCGGTAATGAAAGTTTCAAGTTTTTGTAATAATTAGTTTCGTTATTTATTTATCACATTTTTCTGGGTAGATTAATAGTACATTTATAATGGATTCAAAGCAAATTAATTATGCTGTAGTCAATGCGGCAATTTTTTCTGGGTTGCAATTTACAATGTTTTAAAAAAAAAATAAGTCGTGTATGATTCTGGCTTTTGCGATTTTACCTTTTGTTTAGATATGTTAAAATATGCTTTTCTGCCTCGTTTATTTTAAAACCCCACGGTGTGTTTCTTCTGTGTTTGCTATGGCTATTGACATCTTGCGGTGTCATGTTATAACCTTCTCCAGCTACAACAATCGCAAGAAAAGATTCTGGAAATATCTTAATGTTGCCATGCTGGGGTCATTCCTTTTCAGGTGAATGAGTTCAAATTTTGTTTTGATTGTTTAATCACTTTACCCATTTATGCTTACTTCACATTTTGTAGTCTAGGGTGCACGATCTTGACATTCATGGCATCGTATGAGAACTATCCTAGTGGTTATGCCCTAAAAGCTTTGCATAATATAGGTGCGCTATCTTTTCCACCTCTCACTCGCTCACATGCTGCTCTCCCTACTCATTTTACATTTTTTTGAAGTCTTTAAATTGTACAAAGCTTCGATGGAGGGGAAGTCTTTAAATTGTACAAAGCTTCGATGGAGGGGAAGTCTTTAAATTGTACAAAGCTTCGATGGAGGGATAAATCCTGAAAATCCAATGGAAAACAGAAGTGAAACAAAACTTTGACTAGAAAATGTTATTTGTCGTTCCTATTAAGTTAGGAAAGGGCCTTTTAAATGAAATGTCTTTTTACATATCACTCGTATAATAAGGCCACTTAAAAAATTGCCTTAAAAAATTCACTGAGTTCATTTCTCAAATAATTTTTATGGCTCTGCCTAATAACAATAACCTACTCTCACTACCATGCTTTGAATTTCTAGATGAACTATTTACCTTCCCAGCCCAAAGTTCATACAATATTAAGATTTGACATGTTTGTATTATCATAATATAATCAGGTGTGGTGTTGATTGGGTACCATTTTGCTTCTTTAGTTCATTATTTTGGGTGTTACAAGTTGTTAAAGTTCCCTCCCTCTTTCCTTCTCTTTCACACACAGACACACACACAGATGCATACACAGACAGAGGATACAGAATGTCATTTTTAGTGCTTCAATGCTAATGATTCGAATAAATGAATAAGCACATGCACTCCTTAATTGCAATTTTCTGGGCGGACTTGATATGATTTTTGCAGGGCATTTGAGAAATAATTCAAATGAATTGTGGGTTCATATTGACACCTTCTCGGCAATCAATGGAATCTCTCGCTTCTGTGAAAATTATGATCCATGGAGGTATACTTGATAGTGTATCAATTGTTTTGGCTTAACATATCTTGATAGTCCTAGTCAGGCTACAGAAATTTGAAACTGGGTTCTGCTGAAGTAGAAAGCATTGGATAGATTTAAGTATGATAAACTGATGAAGATTTTATTAGTGCAACTTCATTTTCTCATTTAGGGGACTAACATTTTGTCATTTCTTTATCTAGAATTTCCGTAAGGCCTATATACACTTCTCATTTGTTGTAGGAAATGGTGATAATGAAAATAATGGAGATTTTTCTCTGGTTCTTTGAAACCTTGTTCTTTTATTTTGTATTGTCCTGCATCCTTTTGCCAAGCCCCCCCCCCC